TTTTTAAGTACCAATTTTGAAAGTAACTATTAATTCATCTCCATAAGTAACTCTGCTTATCTTCTGTATCACAATAGAAAGTTTTTCCCCAGGCTTTCCTATTCAGGATTATATTAATTTAATTTGCAGAGTTTAGACTATATAATGATTCTATGTTCGTTGTGAGAGAGATAACATTGAGATATTGTTTGGATAAATTTGACCATGCATTTGTTTGGTATGACTACACATACCCTTATGTCTCAATAATTGTGGTAGCTAGGGAACATCATTTGCCATTTGATCCATTTTTTAGATCATAAAACTGTTCTTACAGTTTGTTTGAGAGAAAGGAAGCTATAAAATTTCACAAATCTTCGATACGGGCTGCGTTTTGTGAAAAATGGCCAAAATACAGAAGGTGACTTTTCTTCTTTTGTCGTTGAACTCCGTTTTGTTTCTGTTTTGTTTCGAGTAACTTTTGTAAGGCTGATATGTATCATTTGGAACCTTCTTCATGAGGAGATGAACTATGTTTGGTTATTGCCGTTGAACATCTGCTTGATTTTATTGTTCAAATGAGTCATGGTCACAATAATATGGACGACCTGGTGCTCCCTTTGAAGTGTTGGTGTTGTTTATAGCGGAAGACAAGTAATGAACTGTTTACATCATTTTGCATGTTGTATACTTTACCTGACTTACCCATTTTCTTGCTGCTAATGATAGGAGTAAAGGGCCAATGTAAAAGATACTAAATATTATTAATTAGAAACAAAGAAGAAAGAACACAAGGTTCTCCGAGAACATGAAGTTCTCCTCGGGAAATAATCCCGCCCAAGCTAAAAAGCCGACAAACACTATTTTTCTCTCGATACCCGATCATCACCTCCTCACAACCCTTTTATAAGCATATTATTTATTTAAGGTAATAGTTATAAGGAAGAAATATGATAACTTGATAGCCTTCCATGCCTAATAGGATCCCATGATTCCCGTCAATCCCTTGATTTGTGCATTAGATATTTTATTCCATTCTTGATTTCCTTCTCATGATTTACTTTCCTGATCTCTATCAGTTAATTTCTTCACAATTGCAAATGACTAATAAAGTACAAGTCTATGAATAATTTTTGTACATTATTGTGGTCATGCTTTTTTGTTTCTCGAAACGATAGAAATTTTATAGACGAAAAATACATTATACATACTAGAAAGCAACTAAACAGCCGAATAAGTAAGCTCCTCAGCTGAATCTAGTTAGGTGGACAAACTTCATAGGCAACAAGCCCGAGGCAACTTAGAACCAACCAAATACTGAACACTAAAACTAAAAACTAAAAACAGCAAACCCAAGTTCTTAACAGGAGAATGACACATCTCCCAACGGGAAAATACAACAACACCCAAAAGGGAGAACAAACACAAGACAACTCACAAAAAAACAAAGAAACAAGAACGCACAACAAGAAAAACACACTCATACATTTCAAGAACGCACAACAAGAAAAACACACTCATACATAACTAGAAAGAATACATCCCCTTTCCACAACAGTCAACCACACCAAACTTCCCACGGCGATGCCAACGGACATCCAATCAAGTAGAAAGTGCTACAGCCAAGAGCCTGAACCAAAAACTGCCAAACAAAATGCCTAACTGGGTCGGCCGCTAAAGGACCCAACTCATGCTCAGACAAATACCCGAGACCCGCGCCCGAAGACTTGCACCACAGATCACCCAGAAAGAACCAGCAAACCGGTCCCAAACCCAGCAAACCAGCCCTCAGGCTCAGCCCAAGTTTGCGGCCAATCCCTCCGCCCAACACCAGAGACGGGAGAAAACGGTGGCAAGTGGCGATACCTCCAACTGGAACCACCAAAGGAGGAACAAGGCCACGACCCACCCCAAAATGAGTGTCAGATGCTCGCCTAACGCTGCGTAAACATGGGCAAATCGTCGTCCTCCTCATAATGCTCTTTTTGGCTCGAGATATAGTGAAGGATTCGAAAAGTTTTAGGTTTAATGAATATATATATATAGTACAACGCTTCGAAATGGTATTAAACAATGCCTCAAAAAATTCAGTCATTATTAAACAATAATGCGTCTTGAGTGATTGTGGACATTCATGTATTGTATGCCACTCCATTCAAAAAAAAAAATAGAAAAAAATAAAATAAAATGTGAGTTCGCTAGGAAGTACGGATTAGGTTCCTCTGATTTCGATCCACTTTGTGGAATGAGATTAATGAGCTCGGAAAGCCGGTCTAGGAGACTCGAGGAAACCCCTCGAAGGTATACCTAGATAATAATCGTCTGAAAACGTCGTTTGGAAAAAGGTAGCTCACGTAAAGAAAAAATGAATAAAAATGAGCTCGTGAGAGTTAAAATGATAAACTCCGCTTGACTCGGTTAGTCTCTTTTTTGATGAACCGGGTCAATGGATACGGAAAATCGGTCTAGGACACTCGGGAACAAACCTCGATGTTAAACCTAGGTAATAATTGTCCTTACGACTCTCATTTAGAAAAAAAGTGACTCGTATATATAAAAATAAAAGAAAAAGATAGAAAAAATGGGAGTTGGCCTTGTTTGTTTCGTGCTTAATCGGGTCTTATATATTGAGTAGACCATTTCTAGCTTTTTGCACGTGTATTTGGGAAAATGAAGTTTTCGAGTAAATCATGTGTAGAATGATTTGGGACGAGTTTTTTTTTTTGTATGAATTTATTTTGTAGGGACCGATTTTCTAATTCCAGTTTAATTTTGTGGATAACCGGAAAGAAGAGAGTTTCATTTCGCTTGATCATTAATTTGGACCGTTCGATCTTTCTTCTCGAACTATTTGTTGTTTTGTTTGCTTGAGGACAAACAAAGAGTTAAGTGTGGGAGAGTTGTTTATTGTGTTTTTGTGCTTATTTTCGTGTGTTTTATGTGCTTTAGTTGAGTCTTTTTAGGTTCGTTTTAGTGTTAACCAGTCAAAATTTATCATGTTTTGTGTATTTTTGTTCTCATTGTGCATTTTGTGTTTTTGCCGTATTTTCGCGTCCTTTTTGGTGTTGTTTAGGTCCATATGTTGAAACTTGGGAAGATGAGTCATTGACGAGTCATTGTCGATCCATCCCAAGAGCCGTCTGAAACATGGTCGAGCCATCAGAGTCATTTCTGAGCTGTCCCAGGTAATTTCCGAGTCAAGCATCACGCCTGTGCACGCGCTTGCGTGCCAATGGACCAGCCCTCGACTGCGCGAGTGCCATGCCCTACGAACTCACGACCCCGCGTGCGTTTTAGCCACGTCACGAGTGTTTCTTAGTAAGTGTGTGTTTTGCTAGTAGTATAAATAGACTTGAGTGCTTTGTATTTTGGAACTAAGCTTTCATTTCCTAATTTTTCTCACTTTGGAATAGGTCTCTCTTTCATTTTTCTCTCTATTTTGTGTTGGAGCTCTATGACTCGAATTTTTCATCGATATTTCGACGACTTTGGTTTATTGTAAGTTTCGAGCTTTTCACTCCGGTTTTTCACGCATGCATAAGGAGAGTGGGTATGTATCTATAATACTCATTACTTCGCGTTTGCTCCATATTTGCTTATGATGCTTTTCAAAGTAAATTTGGTATTTTGCATGTGGAATGGAGAAAAGTTCAAAGCTTTCTATTTTCATTGCTTGTGGATGTGTGTTAGGATTTAATTTCGTACTTATCTTGTTTAAATGTTGCAACTTTAATTAAAGCATAGTCATTTAGTTAAGAAGGCTCGATTTAGTTACCTATGATCACTTGACTAGCATGTTTTCTCTAAGTTATTTGTACTTTCTCGAGTTGTAGAGACTCCGGTAACTCAAACTCCCCATCTTTTCCCGTAAAGCTCTCATTTTTTTACGTGCTTTCAATTGCCTTCAACTTTTTATTGTAATTAGTATTAAATCAACCTTTTTATTGTAATTAGTATTAAATCAACCCCCAATCTTCTCGAATGGAATGTTTAGGTTTTTATTTTGCTTTCCTTGTGTTTTGGACGACTAATTTAGCGAACGAAGCTCTGAATCATCTTCCTTGAGAGAAGACCCGAGCCGAATAACTCGGTTACCAACAATATCGTGAGTCGGTCAAAATTTGGGTCGGCACTCCTGAAGAGCGATAAGCCAACCACAGGTTTACGACCCAAAACCACTCTCGTTGAAAGCCATGGAGAGTGTCGAGTAGGTTACGAACTAGCCCCTTATCACCCCTGGGTGGACCGCGCAATAATAATTTTCGATCTATTTCCCTATCTCCTTAAAGGCGAGCAGAGCCCGGATGTTTTTCGATGAGATCCGACAACCCATTATTCCTGAACATGACAATCATGCAGATGATTATGGCTACGACGAACATTGTAAATTGGCTGAAGTCAACCCCAATAGCCTAGAAAATTTTTCCAGGACACCGGGCAAATGGAACTGAAGACCCATCAGCACGCTTTTTCGATAGACACCGATGTAGCTTGATGACGACAACAGATCCTCTTCCTCGGGTAGGGAACAAAGATATGCACCTCTAACCTAGACTGAGCTTTGCTCAGTTTGACGAGGTCGACCTCGTCGAGTATTGAAGGTGTATTGATTGATCAGAAAAAGTGTGTATTTTATATATTTATTAGCGTATTTTTATATCCTTAATTTTATCGCACTTATATGTTTTCGACTTATTTATTTATTAGATGGATTTAAGTACTATGATAAATTTATTGTTAAATTTCAGGATATTAGAATATTTTGTTGGACGGCGTGGCACTATACGAAATTTCAATTGGTGCAGTGTGGATACCCCATACTAGCCCAAATTGTGGAGCGGTTTAGTGGAGGAATTAAATAAATTGGCAGCCACCAATAATTATTCACGCAAGACTTGGAAATAAAGAAAATGGGGCTAGACACTTTGAGGGATATACATGTGAGGAATTATTTGCCACACCACGCAATTGCTGGAAGGAAATAATAATACACGCAAACCTTTTATACATAAGGAGCCGTCAGATTTTAAAGGGATTCACGCAGCCTGGGGGATATTCACGCAATACAGAGCCACACATACGTACAGAAGAAGAGACCCGCACAGACAGAGGAAAAGAGAAGGAAAAGCAGGCGCACTTGGAGACGAGGAATCCGGCAATCGCGGAGGGAGACCGCAACCGCACACGAGAAGGATAATTTTATTCTTCTCTTTTGCTTTTTATTTATTATGTTAGAGTAGATTTTCTTTCTAGTTCCGGGGAAGTCGAACCCTAAGATTGACTATGTTTTGATTGATTTTGGTTGATAATCTCAATACCTTTTTGGAATTGTTTGTGTTGTTTTGAATAATTAACCATGATGTGATGAGTCTTATTTAGATTGATCACCTAGATTAGGTTTTACATATTTACACCTGAATTAGGCCTTCAATCCGTAATTGTTGATGTGTTTAATTCGCAAGTTGTATCCGAAAGATGGTAACTACCGGGGATAACACGGTCTATTTAAGTGAACGAACGCGGTTGAGTTCACTACTTAGTCTAGCCTATTTTTCTAATTCGTAAAGCGGCTAATTGAATTAAATTTAGGAAGTGTTTTCTAGACTGTTCAAGAGGTCAAATTTAATCGTAGAGCGTCTCGCGGTTAGATTAAAAATAAGGAAAAATTCGGGTAACAGCCCGTGGCGTTACATAGGGCTAGTAATTCCATAGATAGCGAGATTTGATATCAAAGTTGATTAGACGAGTCAGTCGAGGGTAGACGGAACCGTGAACTAGAAATTTCTCTTTATTTATTCTATTTTATTTTTATTTTCTAGTTTAGATTTTATTTGCTTTAGTTAATTTAGTTCTTAAAATCCCCCCCCCCCTCTTTTATTGCTTTTATATTTCAATTAATACGAGAAAATTCACGATTCGATTCACACTCCCTGTGGGATCGACCCTTGCTCACCACTACTACTAGTTAGTAAAGATTAGTCAAGGAAAAATATAAAATTTTAATTTTGCCGCGTTGCGACGCGCGGTCATGTATTACACACCTTCAGCTCGCTGGGCTCCAGCCACATGCGAGCAGGTCGGCGCCAGAAGCTGTTTGGCGTGGTAGTAACAACCTCGAGCCTTTTGTTCATCTCACAGTCATCCTTGGACAAAGGAACCCGTTCTCACCCGTGAGTGTCTCCTCGAATGGTCTCTTCCACCAGATATATGTCCAACTCATCATCCTCGTCAAGGTCAATAAGTTCGTTCAAGTCAAGGTTGCATGTGTCGCTCCCACCCCGCGCTGGCGACTATGACATCGATACCTCCTCCAGCTCTGTGACCGTCTTCTCCGCCGATTCCACCATCCTCACCGCCGTGAATGGTGCGCGACTGTCACCGTTCCTTCAGTGACTCTTGATATCAACGCAGCCACCGATGGCGGCGAATAAACCATCTCATCGGTTTACAAAATCATCCCACCGCTGGGGAGTCTAACTTGGCTACTACACGTGGGAATTTTGACATGATAACGAAGTAAAAATTAAAAGATTCGAGTTAAAGATTGAGATTACCGAAGGAATCGAAATCTGCGGAAGCTTGAAGAGCTCGTCAATAACGGAAGTCGTCTAGTGCTCAAGAAATCTGGAAGGCTCGAAATCACAAAGTGAGGAAAAAGCCCGGAGATACCCTAAAACTATGTATATATATATATATATATATATATATGAAAGGCCCAACAAATGAAACTTTATCCGTATTCAAAATTCAAAGAAAAAACAAATCTTTCATATCCAAAATTTTGAAAACAAATCTACAGTGGACGAGCGATCAATGCAGCGCGACTCTTGAAGAGAAACAAAAGCGTTTCAGACACACCACAATTAATGCGAGTCTATTCATGATACGTCTTTAGTGCATTGAGAATTCATGCGAGTTAGATGCACGCGCTCTATTGAGGTTGGATCC